ACTGCAAACTAACCTCCTCTCCCCTTCTTATAGTTGGGAAGAAGAAAAGGATTTTAAAAACTTTTTCTCTTCCACTTCCCATTTCCCCCCTTTGTGTTATAACTCCCCCTTTTTATTTTCTATCCCTTGAGTTTCCCAGAAAAGAGATCACGTAACTATTTAGCAGGTTAAGGCCTCGCTCGTTAAAGAAATTAACCAGACAACCCACTCTCCCGACTATGAAAGGCCACGCACCACCACACATAGCATCAAGAATGAGCTTCCACTATCATTCCTTACCATGACTGGACCTGGAAAGGTTTCCCCGGGTTAAGTCAATTTAAGTTGCAGTCTCCTCTCTTGGTTAGGTCCTTTCGTCAGCTCTCTAAGTTTCAGCCTTGCGACCATACCCCCCCCTCCCCCAGGCCTAAAGGCTTTAATTTCTCGTAAAGGTGCTGGTGGTATTAATTCCTAGTCGGCAAAGTTTATAGTTAAGACTAAGACGGTATTTTCTCTTCTTCGATCCCTCACTTTCGTTCCTGGTTAACGAAAACACGGCGAATATCTATGCTGAAGTTAATCTTTAGTAAATCTAAAAATTTCACCTTTGAAACCAATTAAAATAAGATCAAAATCCTATTCCATTATTCCATACTGCAATATTATTTAGGAAATGGTTATTTCCTGCTCATAAAAAAGGGGAAATAAGCCTTTGCACACTTTAATTTTATTACGATAAAGTTGTTTCTCCGAAAGTTAAATATGATGGGAGAAGTGTAATAAGGAAGCGCGCCCCTCCTCCTACTTGCTCCCTCCCTTTTTTAATTTGAACCAAATGCCCTGTTGGGCCTGCTCCCCCGCAAAAAAATGTACAGTAGTTTGAAAAAAACCTCCCTTTCTCTAAATTTTCCCTTCTTCTACCCCTCTCAAGAGAGGAGAGTACGAAGAAGTTGGAAGTACTTAAAGACCAAATGACAAAGTAAAAACGAGGTCCTAAAAAGGTCTAACTACGAGTTTTCTAACTGCAACAACTTTAATGTACGCTATTAGAACTGGAATTACCGCGCTGTTGGCACACTAGACTTGCCCTCCAATGGCTTTCGTTAAGGGGTTTCGATTGTACTCATTCATTTATTTAACTAAGGTCAAGATTTATAATTTTCGTCATTACCTCCCTGAGTTAGGATGGGTAATTTACGCATCTGCTGTCTTTCGAAGAAGAGATAGCCGTTTCCAAGCCCCCTCTCCGAAATCGAACCAATATCCCCGTCACACAACAGATTTTTGGTAGAAGTTGTGTTTCGTAAATAAATCAAAGTGATAAAAAGTAGGACAAAGAGTGCAATTTAATTTAGCTGCAAGAAACGTCATAATTTATGATACTAATAATTAAAAGAAAGGAGGTGATATAGAAGGAAGTTAATATCACTTGAAACTTAAATATAACAATTCACCAAAAAAAGATACGGAAGCTTCATAATCAGAAGTTACTAAAAAAGAATAATCACTGACGCAGGGAGTATATACGTTCTTTCGTACAACCCTATGCATGCATTTATTATTATAGATGGCGTTTTCTGATGTTTTACTGAGTTAGCAACTTCGAATACTCGAGCTTTAAAACGGGTTGGTAGCCCACAAGTACAAGCTAAATTATTATATTAACATGCATTCCCCACTTTTTGTTTTAAAACCTTTTAAGTAGCTTTCAACTGTCACATTTAGAGTGTGTCACGGGGAACGAGGGTGCAATGCTCCATGCCAGGACTCCCGAGTTCTTACTTTAGAAGAAGACTAGCATGTCCAAAGGCCTTTTGTATAAGGGGACGGCATTACTTTAAAAGATTGTGGTAGACAGCTACCTCATTTTTTTGCGTTTGTTTAATTCATTTGGGGGGATTGCGTTGCCGAATTTTTTGTGCACAGTTCCGCTTTCGAAAGGGTCAATTTACCATTCAATGAAATTCCTAGACTTTCTTAGCCCTTCACCTAAGCTTAAATTATGTAAAACTAATATTTATGTACTTTTATTTTGAGGGAGCCTTTAATCAAATGTATGGCACAAAGTATTGATTTTAAATGACAGACTATTATATACCCTTGTACCTGATACATATAATTGTGTCCTTATTAAAAGAAAATTTAGGATCAAGTTAGAAACACTAACTCTTTTTTTAAAGGCAGCAGTGCCCACAAGGCTCCCTTTGCCTTTCTGCTGTGTACTTTAACTTCTGACATCCCACAGCCAGCAGTGTCCCCTGCCCAGTATTACACTAGTTCTGAATCAAGTCTTTTGACTTTATAAAGTATACAGTCATATTTAACCTCCTTAAAAACTAGTTCAAGTTTAATAAACCAGACAAGATGCAAGACACTACTTCTCGCTTAATTAATAATATCACCCGGTGTAACTTACAACTACTTAAAAACAAGTCCCTCTGGCGCACACGGAGGCAGAGTAGCTTGAAATAATTGTTGACCACAAGTATAATGGGACGCCCAATTAAACTGTATAACCAAAAAATTTAAAACTATTAATAACGTTTTGTACCCTCTACTACGCAAAAAGAACAATTAAAAATTTTGTAAAAAGCTTCTTCTATACAAATGCCTATTAAAGCTTACACTCACATATGCGTCTTCTGCTTGGATATACTCTTCTATGAGTCATTTTAATAAGCCACCCAAGCTGCAAAGAAATAATATCCTTCGACAGTGTACCAACACTCCTCGTGGGTTTGTGATTCGACTTGCATCAATACTGAGATCGTGAGAGATATACATCACGGACTACTTAAAAAACAAGGCAGGAAAATGCTTTGCGCGGGTCCGCACTTGCTTTAACAATATGCTATCTACGAATAATACCTGATGAGCCTTTGTGATACCAACTTAAAGCGCCTAAGCTCCTGTTGGACTTACCATATTGCGCTGAAAAACAATAATTATACCTTTTTAACACTATTTAACACGTTGGCGAACTCGGCTAAGTAATGTAGTATACTATTGTCAAGCAGCAATTGGTTGCGGTAGAAAGCGTTGGCAAAAAGCACTGCATTATGAGTGATGTTTTAATAGCACTGTAGATCTGTTTCGGAAGCCTCTGGTTCGGGTTGACATATTCGAATCCGCACTGGTATGGAACGCCCATGTTTAAACCGCTTATGTGCGGATTGTATGAGTGCTGTTACTAATAGTGCTTGTTAAAGGTTACTCGTATAGTGAATCCAAAGGCACCAGGCACAAGGCAGATTAGTGACAATAATGTTGCATCTCGAGCTACAAGGAAGAATCCACTTGCCTAAAGACTTTAGTCAGTCTCGGAGTTTTTACCAATTTTAAAAGCATATCTTTTGGTAAAACCGTTCCGATCCTATATAAATAATTAAATATGAGCACGCTTAGTTATTCCCTCTTTAAACCCTAGCACTAAACAAGCTAACTAAAGAAATACGATCACACGAGATATATTCCCTAGAATTAAGGTCGTTCTTGAACTTTGTTAGACTGCTTCCACTATTAATACTATTAATAATAAAATGCTAATAAAATTATAATAATAGTAATAATATTAATAATGTAATAACTCTTTATATTATAATATTAACAAGAAAAAAAGTAATTTTAATTGAATTCATAATTATAAAATCTGCAAGTGTACCGCGTGCACTATAAATTTACCATTAGGGTTATAACTTCTTTTGGGATCTACTCTTCAATCTCTTATTTCTAGAGGAATGAGCAAGCAAAAAAAAGGACGTATATCCTAGCCTGTAGCACACCACCTTCATAAATAAATAAATAAAATAAAATTAAATTACATTTTATATTATTATAACATTTCGGCATCGTTTTATCACATTTATTCGAAAGTTCTTATTTTTAAGCCACTGCGCTTATTTACAAAAATAAATTTTTTGTATTGATTTTGTTATGAGGCTAAACGATTTTCTTTAATGCATCAGCTGGTGGCATAACGCTTCTATTAAGGCTAACAAAGTTTTTATTAATACTGGAGGTTTAAGGCATTCAGTGTAGTAAAGTAGGAAGTTGTATAAATAATTTTTATATAATTTTGTCGTTGTTAATTTCTCAAGAGTTAATTTTAGAAAATTGCGTCCATTGCGTTGGGGTTTAGGTTTTGCCTATGGCGTGCTGAGCGGAAATAAATATTCTGCATAGGTTATATGTTACTATATTAGTTGGTGAGCGGTTCATTGTAAGTATGTTCTCCAAAGTATTTTTGTAATGTCTCTATTAAAAAATCTATTAGTTTTGGTAAGCTTCGTACTTTTTTTTTAACTCTTTTAAGACTATGTCAAACTTACCAAGTACTCTAGCACAGTTAAGGTACATGGTCTATAAGAATATATTTTAAGAGAGCTAAAAAAAAATAAGGAAGAATTAAACAAGCGGGTTTTTTACACAATTTCGAAAATTTTCCTTCGAGACCAAAATTATACAACTAAAAATGTTTCTATTTTTTTAATGCTACTACTTAGAAGTGCAAACTTTGAAGCTCCTCACCTTGGTTGTATAGTTTCCATTAAAGTAGGATAGAACTTTCTTTATTTCTATAAAGAAACCTAATTAAAATTTAGGTACTACGTTAAACTTAACTCTAAGAACGTCCAGTAAAAAGAACGCCTGCTTTTGATTTTAACGGTAGTATTCGCATTCGGTAATACTGTATAAGGGATGATTTATATCAAAATGTTCTCAAATAGATTGAAGTGGTTTAATTTTTACCGTGGTCGGCCTCTAGTCCCTATGTAGACCTTAAGTTAACGTATATATATTAGATAATATTTTTTACAAAGTTTATTAATTTTAATTTGAAATCTTTAAACTTTAATGTTAATATAATTTAAACACTTATTAAGTAAATTTTTAAGCTTTAACAAAATAATATCGTCGAGAGATTGGCGAGCATATAAAGGAACCGTACGCATGAATGCATTTCCAATTAGACATGAGTGGCTGCTGTCTGTATTTATCATTAAGTAGTGTAGGCAAGGTCGCGTTATGATGCGGAAAGAGGAGTCTGTAACGAAATCTGATACCTCTGTAGGCGCTTATCCTCACGCTTTAGCTGGTTTTTGTGCTGGTTTTTTGAGCACTGTATTACTTCACCCGTTGGATCTTATTAAAGTCCGTTTACAAGGTATGCTCTAGATAAATATTCGCTTTTCTGGTGTTAAAATTTACTTTGTAGTACAAAACTCTCTTTCCAAGGATTTGTATTGTTACCATTACTCAAACACCTTTCAAGCACTAAAGTTTATATATAAGGTCTTTTTTGTACTTTTTCCTTGTAATTATTCAAAGTATTCTAGATTTAAGCCAATCTTCATTACTAGACTGAAGGATTTCCTGGACTTTACCAGGGTTGTACCCCCAACTTACTTGGAAGTATAACTGCTTGGAGCACTTATTTTTTTTGGTATGTACTTATCTTGATAAGATTTATATACTTCAATATAATAAATTGGAAGCTACTTTTATTTGAAAGATTTATTGCTTACAAAATTTGATCTCTCTGGGACTACTCAACATGCTCTTGCTGCCGGTGGAGCGGGTTTATTATAATTTTTTTAATTTTATTTATAAATAACCTTTTATACAAAATTTAGGGATTCTAGCTCTTTCCTTGACCAACCCTATATGGGTGGCAAAGACCAGAATATATCTGCGGAGTTATAAAAGAAAACCTCTTTATAAAAACCTTTTACGTACATCTTAATAACTCTTTCTTTATATATAAATATTCTAGATTTATACGAACATTGTCCTTTTTTAGTTAAATTAATTAAAACTAAATTCAACTTAGAAACTTTGATCTCGATTTCTAAGAAAGAAGGTGCATCTGGTCTGTTCAAAGGTGCCTTGTCTAAATTTTAGTTACTATTAATCTATACAAATTTTCTCAGTGTTGGTTTTAGGATATATTCCTGGTCTGTTCAACGTTTCTCAAGGCGTCATTCAATTCTCCGTTTATGAACGCCTCAAACTTTTTTTGCTCTCTTCTAGGGAACCTCCACTTGTACTCATATATAACTTTTTTTCTTAATTTTTGATTTTTTAAAAGTTAAAGTCAATAGAAATTTCTTGATTATATAATAATGGCCGCAACTTCAAAGATCGCGGCTTCCTTACTGACGTACCCTTTCCAGCTGGCCAGAAGTCGACTTCAGGTATTGCTTGTTTAGATGTATTAATTAATCAATAAACTTTAGAGCATCTTAGTAATTAAGAATCTTTATTGCTGTTCTAGCGTTTCTTTTTACTTTATTGTTTTACTTTTTTAGTCTCAGAGAAACCCATCTGCGCTATACACAGGAATGAAAGATTGTTTGAGTAAAACATTGAAGTAGGTTTTTTTATTTAAGGATTATAATGAAACTCTTTAAATCCTATAACCATCAGGCGGGAGGGGTTGCGAGGTCTCTATAAAGGCCTTGGTTCGCACGTCTTGAGGGTAACACCTGCCGCCTGTATCACGTTTGCCACATATGAGACGATTTTTACCCTCTTGGAAACCTCAAAGATCTGATTATCTACAAATTAAAAAATTTTTTTTTTTACAGCTCTGTGAAAGCTTATTTACCAATACAACCAGCCATTTCCAAACATTTACGACCGCTATAATAAATTCGATTAAATTTATTTATATAATTACTGCATTCTTTGTTAATAAGGTGGCCTTCACTTTTAAATGTGGTGAGGAATTCAACTTATAAGCTTTTTTATATACCTCAAAATTTCGGCTACTTTGATCTTTCTACTATTGAAAGTTTTAAAAAAAGATGGAAATTTGTTCCTTTTAAATTTATTTCTTTTAAACCAAATTACGATTTTTTAATGGTAGTTTTTTTGCAGCGGTTCTATATTACTCTCCGATTTACTTACTACAAAAACCAATTGGATGGGACGTATTTATTGCTCTAAGCGTCCAAATTTCTTAGTGTATGAGTATGGTATCTACAAGTTCCTATAAATAATTTAATGGTATCACTATAATAATGAATTTTCGGGGTTACTTGTTACAGCACTGAGTGGTTTACTAATTTAATTTTGAGTGTACTTAGTTTTTCTCTATCATAGAGAGACGTTAGGGCAACAGTACTCGTATTAGAAAAGCGTAGCATAAAGAAAAAAACTTTTTTATATTAGTTGTTTCCTTTATTCTTATAGTGAGGTTTAAAAAAATATTGGCTGTTCTTCAAGGCTTACATAGAATTTTTTCATTAGAGTAGTCTCTACTTTAGAGGCACATATCCTTTGTAACCCTTCTATTTCTTTTATAAAAAAATAGTATCCAGAAACGAAAGAAGTATGTAGTAGTCTAGAAAAAGAAAGTGATAAAGCATAAAAGAAAAACTAATTAATAGCTATTTGTTATTCTGAACAACGAAGGTTGTGTATGATCAAGTGAGAGCCGGGTATTTTAAAAAATCCTCCAAGTCTAATGACCCTTTAGTCAAAGCAGCTGTAGAGGAGGCTCTAAAAATCAACTTTATTAATAAGTGGGTTACGGCTAGAATAGGGTTTATGTGCCATTAAAGAATAAAAATTTAGTTTAAAAACAGTCGACCTCGCCTAGAACGAATGCTTCTTTGAAGCGAACAAACCTCCCGACCTCGGCCCCTTTCTATGTTGCCTTATGTAAAAAAACTCGGTTATACCGAAAATCAATTGATGCTGTTTTTTTAATTTATTGCAATTTATCTCCTGAAAACCGAAGTACTATTTCCTATTCAATCTTTAGAAGCTTGTCTAAACGAAAACGGTAGTCTTAAAACGAAAAAATCAAAACTTTAAACAGGTTAGTTTCCGGTGTAAGCCAAATGAATATGCCAATTTACTTTTTTCACTTTAATAAGCAACAATGAAAAAATTAAGAAAGTTTATAAAGAAAAGAAATCAATCGAAAAGCGAAAAGGCAGTAGGATGAAGTAGACCAGGCTTTAATTTTAATGGCTCACAATTAAAAAACAGCTAAGGGATGTCCAGCGACGAGTCCGTGGCCAAAAACTAAAACCAAAGATTTTTTTAAGTTTTTAAATTAGAAGACTGTTCAGAAGAATGGTTGGATCGGTGGAAAAAGGATATAATGTTTTGTCGGGCAAATTTGTTAACTGAGAAAAACGTATGGATTGATAGTTGATAAACGTTAAAGAAATGGGTGGGCAAAAATAGGTGGGGTTATTAAGCCGGACAACGTTTTAGTTGGGAATGAAACTGGATCACTTTTTCAGTTAACGAACGGTCAGGCTATGAATTTAAAGTATAAAAAGGAAAATTGGCGGTCGTGAGAGGGATTAACCATATTCGTTCGTGCTAACATTGGTTCAGAAAAGCAAAATTTACTTGTGATTGGCAAATTTAAATACCTTTCTGATTTAAACACGCCCAACCACCTCCCGGTTAAGGATGCCTCTAATAAAATATTTTGGATGGCTTCAACGTTATTAAAACAGAAATAAGGCAATGAGATAGAAAATTTAATATTAAGATTTTACTTCTTGTGGATAATTGTCCAGCTCACTTTAAATGATAAATTTTAAAAACTTTTTTTGCTGCATGCGACAAGTATAGACGAAGAGCACGCTCTCTGAAGCCGAAAGTCTTTATTGCATTGGCTTGCATGTTGGAATGTTGCAAAAATAATATTTATTGTAACACGCTTTTTTCAAAACATTTGATGCCCTACAAAAGTATAAAAAAAAGATAAAAGGCAAAACCTTTTAACCTTTTGAATGGAGGTAAAAACAATATTCAAATTAGTGCTAACGCCGAAGGTATGCCAATAATTGGTGCTTCAAATTAAAAAGAAACAATGAGAGTAAATATCTTGTTCTTAGTTATGTGCAAACAATATAAAAAGAGAAAAAATTATCTTAGGCATTACGATAAGGAAGGAATATTTAAAGCTTGGTTCATTGAAACCCCTAGCAGTGCACTATCGCCATAATCCCTTATTATTTTTTGAAGTTCTTTTAAATGACGCTGTTAAAACATATGAACTGGCCCGTCATTTACATTTCAAAGCTTACTGATTTCACTGATAAAACCACTGGACTTTTTTAAAAGATAACGTGAATAGATAAAACTTCAGTAAAGTCAACTGAAAAGGATGATGACTAGTGACAAGTCGCTGCTTTAACCTTCTAATTAATTGCTCTTCGAATAGCTAAAACGAACACACCGTTTACTATTGATGTGGTGTTTGTAAAGCAAACCACAAGAAAAACTATACTCAATCAGGGGTGTGATTTAGTAATTATAAACATTTTTAGTCACTGATAGCTATAGTTATTCTCTGCATCTCACTAAATGAAAGTAAATACATACCTTTGAAACACTTTATCGCATGACCTCGCTGAAGATACTTTTTTTGGTAGGCTATAATAATTCATCAGACACAGTAACACAGAACTATTTAAAGAGTATGAACTAAGAGTCGTATCTTATATCTCTCCCTTTTTTTTTATTATTTAGTCGTTATTTTTATAAGGTTGTGTGAACTCATTTTTTCTATTAAAGAAAAAGTTTTTAAAAAGTTTTTTAATATGATAATTTATATAATTATTATTTTAGATTACTATATTAACGTTCACTACACCTACTATAAACTCATATTTCTACATATGACAACTGACGTACCTTAAACAAAATACTGAACTAACCATAAGCAGTTATTATTATTATATACTCGGTAGCGGCTCGCCGCTCACCTTATTTTTATAGGTGTGGTCCAGAGGCTTATTACTATCTTTACCACCATATATACAAGTCTCCTAATAACCATCAATATACAAATCATTTTTGCTCCTGCATGTAATATAACTATAAACTTGTTCTACTACACTATTTGTTTTCGATTTTGAACTACAAAGATTATTTTTTTTTATTTTATAGCATTACATTAGTTTAGCACAGTAACGTCTTCTATGAATTATCTGATATATTAGTATTTTTATTTATAATCCAAGGATCAATAAGTCGGTGGGGAGTAAAGGCTGTCAGTACTTGCCTTTATATCAAAGAGCTCAGTTTCTCGTGTTTCCTGATTTTCTCCACATTTTTCGGTTCTCATAATAATATTTAGGTTTTAAGGGCTGCAAGCCCTTTTTAAGTTAGCTTTCATGACCATCAGGCTATTAATAGTTTTCTGTAACGCCTGTAAAAAAGCTTTAATCGTTTTACTCTTAAAAATTTAAATTCTAAAAATATTTAGTTAAAGGAAAAAATAAAAATTTTACACATAAATATAAAAGTATACACCAAGAATTTCTGATAACCTGCAATATAGAAGTGCTCAGACCACCCCAAAGATATAGACTGATAAACGGCTAAAAATGCAAGCCCCGGGGGCGGTTTTTTATTGGCTTTCCCGCCACATTAGGCCAATCGGTGGGAGGCCTCAGTCCTCCGAGGCAGTCATGGTGTTCCGAATTATAGTTTATAGCGAAACGGACTGTTTAACTTTTTGGCGCTTGCAATGCCTTGTGGTTATATATCTCGTATAGAGAGTTTTAGTGCTAGTCATCGACTGTATTCCAACTCTTTGAGTGAAGAAGAAAATGAAATGATTTATGGAAAATGTTCAAATCCTAACGGACACGGACATAACTATAAAGGTTCCCGCTAAGTATGCCCTTTTTGTAAATGGCATAAAACCGTATTTTTATTACATTAATTTAAATAAAACCTAGTTGAAGTTATTGTAAAAGGTGAAATTGATGCAAAAACTGGGATGATAATGAACATTGCACAACTTAAAGATATTATAAACAAAGCCATTTTGAAGCCTTTGGACCACAAAAATTTAGATCTGGACGTCCCATTTTTTAAAAATGTAGCAAGGTGCGACTTTATAAAAGTTATAAAAAAATTAAGCTTTATGACCTTTTTTTTACCTACAATATCCCTCAGTGATTGTATTTAAAAATCTCTTTTTTCTTATATTTAAAAATTTAGCTTTCTGTAATTATTTTCTAGTACCACAGAAAATCTTGCGGTTTTCATATGGAAGCAACTTGAAAAGTTTATACCTATTTCCATGCTATATGAGGTTGTCATTCACGAGACAGAAAAAAATCAAGTAAAATACAGAGGAGAATAAAAATGAGAGCTTTGTTATTTTTGTAAAAAGTGTTGGGAAGATGCCACACTTTTTTTTGTTTTTAGTAAAATGTTTCTTTCGGAAGGCCACAATAAATTCCTTTTACTTAAAAATACTTATTTAATTTCCTCATGTTTTAAAAAGTTAAGGCAATACTTTTCTTCATGAATAAATATAAAATGATAAATCTATGCCACCATTAAATAATAATGGTTTTTTACTTCGACAAGCTAACGCAAGTCACCGTGAACTTCATGTTGTTTTAAAAAATAGCTAAGCTGCTTAGTAAGCGCCAGTAGAATTTCGAAATTTTTAAACAAACTTTAAATTAGTAAAAGGCAAACTACCCTAGTGGTCAAATTTGTTAGTCGTTGCAACTTATATAAGAAACATATATGATGTTGAGCATACTATTAACTTATGTTTACTTTCATACATACCAATATAAACCTAAAAGATATATTTTAAAAACAAGCTTAAAGGTAGTCGTCGGTCTACTTCAATGAATTTTATTAGTATAAAACCTTTTCCCGAAAGATCTCGTGCAGTACAATGAGTACCTCCAATGTTGCTTCGATCAAAAATCTTGCGCCCTCTAACCCTTTAAAAAAATTTTGGTCCCGGGATATGAGAGGGTTCTAGAAAGTGCTCCGCTCTGCATAAGTAGAGACAAAACAAAATCTCCCCTCCCCACCTCGACTAACTTTTTAACCTCTCGGCATGCCGTGTACTGTTCTCGCTATACTGGCTAAAGGCGCAGAGGAGCTCGAGCTCGTCACAGTCGTGAATATTCTGAGAAGAGGGGGGGTAGGATCTTTATTTGTTTTAAATCTTTAGCTATCAAAAATTCTTAATGTTAAAGGCTGCTGTTGTCATCGCTGGTTTGAATGGTTTAGACCCGGTTAAATGCAGTAAGGATGTTGTTATTGTGCCCGATCAGGAACTTGAAAAAGTTAAAAAGGTTTGTATACTTTTAATTTATAGAAAATTTTGGGTAAAGTAACTTTTACCTTGTTAGGATTTATACGACATGGTGTTCATTCCCGGCGGTTTAGAAGGTTACAGTATCAGCCTTTTTTCTATAGTAAATACTTTTTCAAGCAATATCTACTAACTTTACAGGGGCAAAGGCTTGCGCCGGCTCTGAATTAGTTAACGAAGTGCTCAACCGTCATTACCAAAATAACAAGTACATCGCGACCATCTGCGCAGGTTATAGTTAAACTTATAAAAAACCCTTTCCCTGTTTTTTGACAATCTCTCTAAGGCCCGTTGTCTTTAATAAATCACGGCATTGCTCGCGGGAGTTGTGTTACTTCCCATCCTTGCATTAAAGAACAGCTTGTTAAAGAGGGCTACTCCTATAAGGAACAACCGGTCTGTGTGGATGGCCGCATCTGCACAAGGTTGGCTTTCTGCACGGCTAACTAAACTTTAATAATCTAAATTTTTTTTATCAGTCGAGGGCCAGGAACAGCTCTTTTGTTTGGCTTAAAATTAGTAGAAGTGCTTTTTGGTGAAGAAAAGTATAAGGAAGTCTGCAAGCCTTTAATGATCCCTTAAATTTACATAAAGCCTTTTCTTTCAAGTTTATTAAAATTGCTTTTTTTGCGAGAAACTTTATGATTTTAGCGTGCTCTAATTTTCCAACCACTCGGCCATATATTGACAGGTCGAAGGCGAGATAATGAAGTTTTCACGGCATTTCCGAAAAACCTTTTATATAATTAAATAAATAATTAAATATCAAGCAGCAATACTTACTGGGCAAAAGCCGCAGACAGTGCTTAAAAACCCGTTGCTTAGCTTTGTAGATTGGTTCCAACGATAAACTTTAGCTCCTAATAAAATATTCCTTTTTAAAAAAACCAAAGTATTAAGCTAATTATCTTGCAAATAAAAAAATTACATAAAAAAAAGTTAACAAATTATAAAAAATTCAATGTCTTGGATTGATGGAAAAATGTAGATGACCCAATTGTAAAGGGCGATTCCCGATATCTCGAATAGGGGTGAAAGGTTTCCCAACAACACTTTCCTATTGTAATAAAATTACTTATACAAAATATTATAAAGCAAATCTTAACCTTAATGGCATCATCAAAAACAAGACTGGAAATTATGCACTCGACATCCTCAACTAAAAGCTGGAAAGTTGCATTTTTGTAGAAATTTAAGTAAAAATATAGTTAGAAAAGCTATAAATCAGCATAAAATAATACAGAAATGTTGCTTATTCCAGACTTTTCTATAAAGTCAAATAAATCTTGAACACTTGCGTAGCTCTTTAGCAGCCGCGAAGGCAACGGTTCGTCCTTTACCTTTTCACTCTAGAAAATCATATAAATATTATCTACATAAACATAACACTTTTTTTTAATAAAAACTAAAACTTTTTAATACTATTCTTAAAACTGTTAAATTAACATTCCAAAAAAATCAGATTAAGCTTTTATTTTTGTAGGTAATAAGATTTTTAAGTTAAACCAAACGATTTTTAAAAGTTTATAATTTTAATTTTCTATTATAATATAATACTAGCAGTTTTATATGAAAATATAATCTTTTTATCAATCTTTTAAATTTCATATAGCCACAATATTGTATAATAGTGCAGTTAATTAGTACAAGAGTGAAAAAGTATTTTGTGCAAAGTTTATTAAGTGCGGTGGTGAAGCTGATGTCTAACTCGCTTTCATTATGAAAAGCACCTCCCGTTATACTGCGATCGGGAGTAACATCAGCTCTGAAATAAAAAATCTTTTTACTGTGCTGAGCAGTAACGCCTATAAAAAAGAAGTTACGACAATTTATAAATAAAAAATTTGCTACCTTTTACAGATTTAATCTTCTGCTTAGATTCTAAACTTTTTATGACTTTAGTTAACTGAGGCCTTAATAATCCGCATTTATCTTTTAAATCTCGAGCCCATATACCTATAAATAAATTGAAGGTCTAAACTAATGAGTAATATAATTTTTTATTTGCACTACCGGAAGTGCTAGCTTCAGATATAAGGTGATAAACTAATTTTTCGGATTCTTGTAATTGTTCATCTCTAAAAATAATAATAGTAACTATATAGTTTAAACTTTCAATAAAGTTTTGGTGATAAAAAAACCTCGAGTCCTTTAATCTAATAACACCATTTTCCAAGAGCTCGAGTTTCCTCTATTTCGCTAAAGTGAGAACCTTCAGTCCAAAAAAGAATAATAGAAGAAGAGCATACCTGTGTTAAAAGTAAATTTACGGCAGCCACGGATTCTTGAGGGGATAAGCCAGAAACTTTAACGACATCAGTTTTGTCAATCCCCTTATAAGTTAGCAAAAGTACTTATTTATACATTTACCTAGTATTTATACTTAAAAAACCTCAGGTATACCTTAGGATGGCGCTCAATAAACTCAAGCACCTTTTTTGTGTTTTCCACAATGATATTGCCTGCAGTACCCATTTAAAATCTAATTAAAACTATAAATAAATTACAACCGGCGGCAAAGTCTCAAAAAATATAAAAGTTTAGAACTTTTAACAATAAAAAAAAATAAATTGAAGGAAAACGGAATAAGGTTGTTAACTAGCATTTTAACTTATATATTCTTAATTTAAACCGTGTTTTACGTGCTGTTATTGTTCAATGTTATAAAAAGAAACCTCGTTAAGGATTGACACTGCATGCATAGCGCGAGACACTTAACGCATTAAACACAATAAAACTTTATTTTGAAACTTTGTTAGTTTTGATTTTTTTTAAAGACTAATATTAAATTAGTAGATAATATTTTCTAATTCCTGATATTATTAATTTTTTAAAATTAAGAGGAACTTTCAAGAAATGACCTTGGTAATGGTTAAAAGTTTTAACTTCTAAGTTTCCTTGTTATCTGTGCAGTGTGCCATTTATATGTATGTGAAACTTATAAAGTTACAAAAAACTTAATATATTTCGGAAACCTTCTAAGCAATATGTAGAGTTCTTTTTAAAAAAAATTCATTTTGAAAAAGATGAAACTCTTCTATATTTAAAAAATATGGATATAACTGGTCTATTTCTTGAATTGTATTAGTTAGCACTTGCCATTATGTTAAAGTGTGATTGATAACTCTTCCCCTAAAGGGATTTTTTAAAAAATTATCAGGAGACGCTGTAAGTTACATATAAAGCTATTTTTAATATGTTCGTAACGATCATTATAGAAATTATTTTATTTTAAACTAAAGGTGGCGAATGCCGATTTCACTTAAAAATGTTTAATGGTTCACTTGCTGGTAATGTTTAACAGCCTCGTTTTATGAAAAAAAATAAATACTCCGAAGAGTACAAAAAAGAATTACTGTGCGTTACATTAAATTTGTTTTCCAATATATCCTTAATACCTACAGTTAAAACTGTAAAAGTAGCCATACTAATATCCTGCAATACCAAGGCGGATATATAATGTTAGTACATCCATATATATCAAGTTACTTAGTTTGTAATACTGTTTGTAATAAATTTATATAATAAAGCAAGTTTTAATGGAAGATAATAGCATTACTACATTATTTAAAATTACAAAATATGGTGGGTAGAATTTGTTCTTATTTTTATTTTCTCTTTTTCGAGGTTAGAAATACTCTCATTTCTATAGTACCATTTTACTTGGCAGATTGAACAAATAACAGTTGTGTTTAATATCTCCCTATTTGATTTTTAGCGAATAAATGATAGTAGTATATTGAAGAGTAATTAGAAAATTATCTAACCCAAAATGAAGTATTCAACAGCAAGTATAAGCAAGAAGATAATTGGAAAAAATGGGGTTGTATACACCAATGACATTTATTTATTAATAGTTTTGTTTTATTAAAGCTTGTAAGGACTAAAAAAGCATTTCATGGCTACAATTGTCATTTAAAAGCTCCAATAAGTACATAAGTATGTAAATTAACATGTATTTTCGCTCCAGTTAACTAACGTTCTCGTGCTTTTTGAATTATGCACCCTTTAAAAAATAATGTATTTTCAAGGCATATGCATGTAACGTGAGGTTACATTACTAATTTGTTGTTACTAAAGGCGTGGCGTGCAGGCACACTTCCTTTTCCCTTTGGTTGGTTATTTGGGGTGTGCGGGCGGCCCTCGAACAACTTGAAAATTATCCCGGATATTATTACGGAGTTCCTTGGATTAACGATTATATATTATACTTTTTATTAATCTATAATACTTAGTTTTCGAACACAATAATCTTGTAAAATCAACACAAAAAAAGTTAAACGCTTTGTAAAATTTAATTACGCTTCATACCAAAGCAGAAGCTATATATTTGCTACTAAAGCACGGAGAGTAGCATGTTAAAGTTATCCGAAATTATACACATTTAGTAGTTTAAAGCAGCTTGACGGACTTTCGCTTACTTCCTCTTTAATTCCCCTTTTCTTCTACTGTTTTCAGTTTTTTAAGTCCAGGCTCTTCGTGATCGCCGGTGCACAGCTCCAACTTAGTTGCGCCTTGACTTCATTCTTATTTTAATATTCGTAGTTTGTGTCTTTTTATACTTGCTCTAAGCTCTTAGTAGTTTACTTTTATTGTTTTTAATATATTGTCTATCCTTTGATCTAGAAGAGTTCGACTTAGTGTGTTTTACCTTTAGAGAACTTTACGATGCGTTTCTCCCAATTATAAATGGCAGGAAGTTAAGTATACTTCCACTAATAATTTATATATATTATATGGCGGCCTCAATTTCTTAATTTATCTTGGTAAAATTTTTGAAAGCTATTATGGTAAAATTTAACTTCAGTTTATAGTGGTAACACTCACCAGAATTTTTTTTTCTACTTTTATAAAGCCTAAAAGTTATAACTATGTTTAAGTTTACTTATGCCACCACAGGTCAAAACCATTACTTCCTTATTGTAGTTGTAGTAACCTTTATTTGTACGCCAGAATTTTTTAAATAACTTTCGCAGTTCGTTTTGTAAAAATATTTACAATACTTTACAGAAGTGATTAACATATTTATAATTAATTCTATTAGCACGATAATAAATACAATAGCTCTCAACCGAAGTTTGAGTATATTAAATTTTTATTTGACTCAAGAAGTATATAACCGTTATTAATAGAAGTGAGGTTCAAAAAAAAGTAGTAAATAAAAAAAAAATTAATTTATTACTAGGTTGAGGAACTGCTAATGTATACCAAATTTTATTTGCCTTCTAGTAAATTTTATAAAGAATAAAACTAATATACATACAGTTAGATTATTACATACTAACAGATACCTATATTCGTGACTTGTTCTTTTTTAATTTAAATTATATATAAGAAGACTTTAATTAGTAGAGGAAATAAATATAACGTTGAGCTCTCAATTTAAGCTAAACTTAAATGGAGAACGATCCAATTTTCAGTTTCGGACTAACCAAGAAAATCAGAGGGGGAACGTCAATCACGGGTCGACATACCCAAACTCCTTTTGTTTACTGTTAAGTTTAAAATTCTCGTTTGCTCTCTTTAAGATGACACTGTAATGACTAATTACATTGTTCGTTACAAAAATGTTAATAATCCCCGTTCAAAGATAAGAATGGAGCTTGTGTCTCAGAGTTACTTGCACAAGCAACATAATTTTGAAAGTCGTATGTTATTACTTTGCTCGTAAAAAGAATAAACTTATTTTATTCTCTAGAAGAGAGTCGTTCAATACGCTCTGTATTTGAAGCTAATAAAGGCACTCTCCCCGATGCCGGTAACCACAAATCTTTAAAAAGTGTAAGTTTTTCTTAGAAAAGAACTTAGAAAATTTCGTAAACGACAGTAACAATTACAAAGCACAGCTTAATAACTCTGAGTGCTCTTCGAACCTTAACAGTATAAGTACAAAAGTTAAGCCTTCAGATTTTGAGTGCTCTTCTATTAAACGTAAAAAAGGTTTATTTTGAGCCTCTTTTTCTTGTTTTGGTGACAACATACTTTTTAAATAAGTTAAAAAGACCATCCCTCGGAATAAAGTTAGTGAAAATTACGTAAAACTGGATTTGCGAAGAAACTTTAGACGTAACATAAAGGTAACTTAAACTTCTACTGCACCTTAATATTGTAGCTTCTTTTAATTTTGATAGAAAAAAGTATCTTTAAACAAACGTAGAAGTTACGAGCTGGCTAAGAGGTATATTCTAGTAAGGTCGTATTTGTTAGTAAGACTTTTGCCATTTTATTTATGCGAAGTAGGGAGGGATTAGATGAAAACATAAATATATCCGACATAGATGAGTACTGTAGCGGCGTAGAAGGGAATCTCTTTCTTGACCGCTTTAGACTTCCAGAGGAGCAAGTAATAAATAAAAGTCTATTTCCTTTTTTAGACTAGTGTAAATCAAATTTTTGTTTATGGTATTTTAGTCTTACGCAGTCAATCTCACAATTTCTTTAAAAAAAAGATTGATCCCGAAGTTTGGCAAGAAGCGGGTATGAATGTTGGATTAAGTCAAGGACTACGTATTAATTTGACCCTTTTCTCATAAAAAGCGCTTAACTTTAATACCCAAAAGTCAATTTGTGGGAGAAAACGGATTCTTCTGGGGAAACTTTTTCTGAACCGCAACATAAGTCTGTTCCTGCAGAGTATGAGTATTTGGCTTTGCAACTTGCGAGCGTCGTAATGATTACTTTTTGCTTCAAAGTGAGCCACGCGGAGTAGAGACTGACCTTCACTATGAAGAAGCTCTCCATCATCTCTTCGGCTTTCAGTCGTTCCGTCCCGGCCAGAAGCAGGTAATCAAGCGCGTGATGAATTTTGTCTCGACGCTGCTCGTCCAACCAACGGGTTCGTACGGCGTTCTTTTCACCAGTCAGTCGTCCGTCGTACGCACTTCAATACTATCCATAACAGGTGCAGGAAAGTCTCTTTGCTACCAGTTACCGGCTTATTTGCACCATTTGGCAAATGGCTCCATTGCCGTTGTGGTTTGTCCATTGCTCTCTTTGATGGACGACCAACTGAAGCGCCTGCCGAGGCTGTACGTGGAAGTCGTATTGTTCGTTTCGTGAAAGGTCGTAATTTTCTTGGGCTGCCCTGTAGCTTGTCGGGCTGCACTCTAAACAGCACACAATCGAAAGCAGAGGAGCGTAAAGTTATAGAAGAGCTCTATGCAGGTTTGGGAGTGCCAAGGGCTCATTTATTACTACTGACGCACTTGCAACAGGGAAGCACCAAGTTTTGTTTGTATCGCCGGAGCTTGCCTGCAGTGAAAAGTTTATTAGTTTGGCACGCTGTACTTAACTTTCTTTATGGGCGTTCGACCTGTTAATGCCACGTGCTGAGTAGCGGCAACCTTTTCGCCCATTTCTTTTGTTTGCGTGGATGAGGCGCATTGCGTATCGGAGTGGTCCCACAATTTCAGGTCCTTTTTAGCACGTGGCTTCCGTCTTTGAGCTTAATCACGTCACCGGTGGGCAGGCCTTCCTACTGTCGTCTGGGCGCCGTTCTTCGAGAGCAGCTGCAAGTTCGTTGTGTTCTTGCCCTCACTGCTACCGCTACCGCCCGCACGCTGTATTCCATATCGTCGTCCTTCCAAATTCAGACATCTAGTTCGGTGCATGTGTCTTCGTCCAAACTGCGATCCTATTTGTTCTGCTGGCAGACGTAGTGAGGGGATTGATGATACCGAGAAACTTGCTCCTAACCATTTCCACCGAGACCAACAAGCTGCGCGCGCTGAAGGAATGGCTTCTGCTGCCTTGCCTTCATTACAATGGCAGACTCGGGAGCTGCATTGTGTACTGCACGCGCAGAGAGCAAACCGAAGAGGTTTCCATGCTGCCAAAATATTAGTGCGACTCTCTATTAAATATCACTCTTCCAGGTGGCCTTATTTTTGCGCAATAATGAAGTTGACGCATGGGCCTACCATGCTGGTTTGACTCCCCTGGCAAGCATTGCTCTCTTTCAGCTTATTGGTTCTTCTATAACAACATTTCTCTGTAAAATTTGTAGAGGCGCAGAACACTTCAACACAAGTTTATGTCTGGTGTGATCCGCGTGGTGGTCGCAACGATAGCCTTTGGGATGGGCCTGAACAAGTCAGACATACGAGGCAACCTCGTGTATCCGCCACTCCCCGTCTTTGGTTCTGAGGGTCTCTTTCTACACTCCTCTGCAGGCGTGGTTCATTTCCATATACCAAAAAGTTTGGAAAATTACGTACAAGAAATTGGTCGAGCTGGTCTATTCTTTTCGTTTCCTCTGAAAATCTTTTTTACCATCATCTAATCCAATAGGAAGAGATGGTGCACCTGCCTACTGTCATCTGTTCTATTCTCCGGAGGGTGCTTCTCTTTGCTTATAACAACAAAAAACTTTCTTACTGCTTTTCTCTGCACAGACCGCATTTGGTTAGAAAGCAGAGTTTACTCGGACGCGGTGGACAGCACTACACTAGAGAGTTTTGTCGAGAAGGTTAGTCCTCAGCGGAGAGGCGTCTTTTTTCTGTTTCTTTACGCCACGTGCGTGAGGTCTTCTTCATGGATCGAACGCTTACCGAGCCGCATGAGCATCTTGTCTTGCTCCCGGTCGAGGCGGTTTCTCATTCGCTCGATTTGGAGGAAGCCGCCGTGTATACTCTCCTTACCAAACTCGTGAGCTCGTCAACTCTCAACACCAATCAGTGGCACTTATCTTCTTTGTAATTCTGTAGGAGTTTAGCGTTGGTCAGTACATTACGTTATTGGCCAACCATCATTGTGTGTGCGTTTTGAGAGGCCCTCTCACATCCGCGCGCTTACATGATGACCGTTCTGAGGCTGCCCTTTTTATAAAAACCGTAATGCGGACCGGCGGAGGGGCTACTTTTCTCAGCTTTGATGTCTATGAAAAGGCCGTCCAGCTGAAGGTAAGAGCGCGTTGTTCGGCGGCAGCCCACTTGAGATCAAAGCGATTGCAGCTTAGCGTGGTGGCTTTCCGCGAAAACTTGGTTTCAGCTTGCAAGCAGTGCAAAATTTCTTGCGAGTTCAAGGAAAGAGCCTGGTGCTACCGGATTAACAAGCGACCAACTCCGAGCGAGGTGCGCACTGAGCATCACGCTTTCCACAGTTTTCTAGCGTACTATTAAGGAAGGCCAAAGAAATCGCTGCTAAGCTTTTGGAGAGTATTCAACATTTGGAACTGGAACAGCTGAGAAAAGTCTATTATATTTATATGCCAACACGTTTTTGGTTTTTTTATTTTTCTTTTAATGACCACAAGTTGCAATATATATGCCGGCTGGCCGAAAAGTATGCTGTGGAGGGATTTTCTCGTTTGTACGATAAAGATCAAGAAAAGTAATTCTTTTCATTTTTTTACTATAAGCAGTGCAATAAAACTGCTTTATCACAGCCTTCGACAAAAAGTTGACGAGGGCGTTCGCGTCGACGTGCTCGATTATTTCCAAGAGCCCACCGGCGACACAAAGGTCATCCCTGCAGATCTGCAAAGCTGCACGGAGGCCGGAATTGAGTCCGCCCGGGTAGAGGGTATTCCACTGTCTTCTCCTACCTCTTCCACTTGGTGTAACTAGCCTCTGCTTTTAGCGAGAGCTCTATTGGTCATGAACAGGCAAATAAGAAGCGGAAACGCTTGCGCTAAGATTATGCACGGTATCTCCACCCCTCGCTTTCCGGTGCAGCCCTCGTTTGGCTCATGTTAAGCGCGTGCCTCTCTAAATTACTTTTTTACAGGGAAAATACTGGTCTAAGCATCGCTCTTGGAGGGCTTTTCTGCAAGTCAACTTTGTAAATTTATCAAGAATCGCAGAGGAAGAGTTGGCAGCTTTGCGCGCTGCTCAGTCATTCTTATAATTACTTAGATATAATTTCATAGCAAAGCCGCTATATAAAAAGCAAATGCTCTGTAAATAGATAAAAATTACAATATAAATTTATTTCTTTACTCCATTAAAAAAGGTGAAGGCCGGATTAAATTTTAACTTTTATAGGTGCTTGTTTATAAAATATGCTCGCTGACAAACACACCACCAACCAAAAGATCCCCGTTGGCGACGCGTGCTCGTTACCAAGAAGAATGTTCAAGAAGATGGTGATAATTTTATTCGTGACGCCCACCAGAGTATAGGCAGTAGCGGATAGAATTTCTCTGCACCACCAGCCAGAATAGCTTATGCCAACTCCAATAACTCCAGAAAGTATTAATAAAAATTTGGTTTCATAAGAAAGTGAGACTTCATTAAATCCTAAAGTAAATTTAATATTATCAAATAGAATTTTTATAAACAAATTATAATTATAATTAAAGAAATTTGTTTTAAAATTAAAGCCTTTATAAAATTCCTGAACATCGTTGGTCAACACGGAGAGGGCAAGAAAGGCCGGAATGGACAATAAATTATTATAATAGACACTACCCCACGTGGAAAGTTTGACAGAGTCGGTGATTTGTTTACCTTAACAAATAATAATTGCAGAAAGTATATTAATTTTATAAAAATTTGAAGTTACAGTAGAATAATTATTTTAAAGATTAACTTGAACTAGTAGAATTTACCATAAGTCATAACAAAGCACAGCATAAAAAACCAAATAACCACCCAGGTGTAGACAACAGGCCCTTCAAAAGTTAATTGTTTATCGTTTTTTACATAACCTAAGTTTCATTTTAAATGATAAAAGAAATATTTTTTTATTACATAAGCTAAGTAAATAAGCAGTACTGACCAAAAGTGCCCAAGGCTAAAACTAAAAGCGCTACAAATGAGCCTCTTTCTGGCCACTGACGATTTAATAAAAAGTACTCTAAGATTGAAACTACTAATGGCAAACAAGATCTAAAGACTATAATAGTCTCAACGTTGACTCGTTTTAGGGCCTACCTTGAAAAAAAAAATAAAAAACATCTTCGAAAACCAAGAAGCGTAACCTCAATATTTGCGTACAAACCAAAAACAAAGGCCAAGACATATACTAAGTACATTTTTAACTGCTTTAAGCTAAGCGACTCAATTTCGGGAAATAATTTTAAGTGTCGCAAAAGTGCTGCCGTAATAATTGAAAATACTACAGAAAAATAGTGAAAACGGAAGAAAATCAGTAATAAGTTACGTTCAAACCTACTTGCACTAACATGACTAGAGAAGAAAAAGGCAATCTTTTAATTAACAACTTGTTAATTAGAAGCATAAGCGAGGAACAAAAACTGTACCTGCGTGAAATTTAAAATAGACGGTAAACTCATATTTTTAATATATAATTTACAAGCTAACTGCGTTTATATACTCTCTGACGCCTTTCTCACTCATCCTACTTTTACAGAATAACAAACAAGTCAGAAAAGCAAAACGCTTGTCATATTTTTTATTTTTTACAAACGACAGTTCCTGGTGCTCGATCGAGTCAAAAAACCTCGAATTCTCGAACTCTCAATCAGGAGTGATCGCAGGCTTACTACAAAGTAGCTTTCAAACGAAAAGGTGTTATTTCTTGACATAAACAAACAAAAATCTGGCGATTCTGCGCGTCATGTGGGAGGCGGTATCGTGCCCCGCCCCGTGGCTCGTAAATAAGTCCACTCACCAATAGACGATTAGCGTACCTAACTAGCCTGTCGTAAAGGGCATTAGCATTTACATTAGTAGACGACGTCTATGGGGTAAAGCTGCAGACCCCATGAAGAGCGTTATTCGCACAACCATTTGTTTTGTCGCACTTGAAGTGCCGACACTATTGCAGAGAGTCGTATGCCCAGGCAGTAAACGCGTATGTCATTATTGGCTGGATGTAAGAAATACAATTTTCGTTTGTTTCACAAAAAAGCTTGCTCTTACTTGCATAGTAAAGGGTAAATCGCCTTAGCTGCTGCCTTGATCCGCAACTAGATAGTCCTACGTGGCTGCCAGGAAAGTTTGTTGTCAGTGATGTCTCCCGAGTATTTCGCTTGAGCACACCACGGAATCTTCACGCCAGTAAAGGCTAAGGACGCTAATAAGGAGAAGCGTTTCTTAGTAATTAAAAGCGCTTTGCTTTTCATCGCATTTAAAATAGAAACTTTCCAACTATGGCTCCATTCTGCAAGGGCGTTTAGATAGCGCTGTAGATGCTTGCATAACAAGGCGAGAGACTTTGACGATGTGTTACTGGTCGTATCATCGGCGTAGAGGGCGATTCATGTGTGTGGATTGGATTTCAAGGGCATGTCATATTAAGAAGAGAAGGGCGAAAGAAGGGAGCCCTGAGGAGGCCCTGCTTCAGAGGTCGCAGAGGCCACTGTCTATCTCCCATGCACACGCTGAAGACGCAGTTATTTAGATATGACTTCAGCGCGTTGTAAGACATAAAGAACGGATAACGAGCGCAACTGGTACAGCATACCTTCATGCCAACTTAATATGATGCTTTATCAATGTCAAGGAAGCCAGCGCCTGTTGCCTTTAAGTTAAAATGCGCGAGTAAGTCATTCAGTTAAGCGGAGAAGCTGCTGGGCGTGTGCCCCTTGTAGAAATTTAAACTGGAACTCGGCAAGGCGTCCCGAGCTTAAAAGACCTCTTTTAGGCGCAGTAAAACGACCTCACCTCCACTTTACCGACCGCTGACAGGAGACTTTGAGGTCGGTACTTGCTAAACTTGGCATACTGTTATATCTATTTTCTTAAGTAATAATGGGAAAGTTTATTACTGGGCCAAACAAAATGCATTTTTGTTAGTAAATAGCGTCTTTAGGAACTTCATTTTTTGACTCCGGTCCGCGATTGTTCCCTGCATTCAACATCACTTCTGAGGCAATGAGTAAAACAGAGAGAGAGTAATAAATAAAGGACTTAACTTATCAATTTAAGCACATCCTTTTCTTTAAATGTAGATATGCTTGACGATAGCGTAGCTTAATCTGTTTAAGATAGCGGAATTTTTTATTCTACTTATTTTACGGCCGTGGTTTATGTTTATGCCTTTTTACCTTTCCCTTATTGTACTAAAGAAATTAACTTTATAACGTAACTATAGAGACCGTCTAGTAGTATTTTAAAATTTATAAAAAAAATCAAAAAACTTGAGAGCGCCTATGCTAACCTCGGAATCACCAATTCGACTTTTATATCTATGAAAATATTAAAATCAGTCATAATTTTTACTAGTCGAAAGCAAGAACAAAGAAAGTGTGGTTTGCATACTATATAATTTGCTTTTATAAAGTAATAATTTAGTTTTTGCCATTTCAAATTAAACTTTTTAGGTTCTATTTTAAAGTTCACTGATCCACTGAGATTGTTAATTTAAAATGAATTGTGGTGCTTTTCGTTCTATAAGCCTAACTTAAAATCAGATAGTAGATTATCCTCTTTAGCAAGAAGTCGACCTTGTAAACTAACTTCAAGTTTATCAATATTCCTTACGTAAGGAAATAATGGATAAGTACCAATTTGATAATAGTGAAGGCTAGAAAGCTAATTTTATTTTAAACCAAAGTGCGGAAGATTTATTCAAATAGATCGCTGCTTCTTTAAATAGCCGCTGTTATCCACTGAATCTTTTTTAATAAATATTAAGTCAAAAAATAAGAGATACCCAAAATTATTATACCCTTAAAGCGTTGAAGCTCCAAAAGGAGATTGCCGTTTTCCAATTCTAGAAGAGCATTTTTTTCGAGAGAATTCTCAAGCTCTCCTCGTAAGTCAGTTAAGTAAGCTTGAGTCACACTTTATTATATATAACACAAAATACAATTTACAATAATAAGTAAAATACAATATTAACAGCGTATTTTTAATGAATTTTCATTGTTGTAAAAACATAATAAAGACCGTTCTTGACGCTCTAAGTCATCATAACTTTGTTCTAATTCACGAAGTTGGCTTTTAACTTTTTGGTAGTTAGGTGAGGCTGACTTAAGTTCAGCCTGAAGATCAGAAATTACTTTAAAACTCTCATTATCCCTCTCAAATAACCGATGCTATAATTTACAATAAAATTTTATTTAAAAGAAATTATGCACATAATAAAGCCCACTTTTGAAATTTCCAACTCTTTTTTCAAATTATCTATTTCCATCCGGGAAGCTAATAATTGTTGTTTAGTACGTTCAGCTGCTAATTCCATTTCTATTTCATATTCCCTACTAGCAGCCTGAGTAAGGTATCGTAAGAGGACTTCTGAAGTTGGGAAAGGCGAGATTAAATAAATAGTTATAATAATAATAAAAAATAAAGAGTTGGTGCTGCCTAGTATAAATATTAACAAGTTGCTCTTCCAGCTCCTTGTTAACTTCATAGTACAAGTGCTTCCAGTAATATACAGCATCTTTTAGATCTAAAGGCTCACAGCTAAAAAAGCTTTGAAAATAAATAATCTGTAATAATTATAGCTAAATAGTACCTCTCTGCATCTTCCATAGAGTTTGAAAAATCTCAATTTAGCTATTATAAAGATAAAAGCTCTATTACCAAAAAACTAAAAATAATAATTTGTCTAGGCGAGAAAGGAAGTTGCTTAAATGAAAAGGTTAAAGCTTAAAGGCTGGCAATCAGCTCACAAAAGCTTTAAGGACGAACATGCCTTTATCTCACTGGATACACGACATGATAAAAAAACCGAGAATATATTTATACACAGGCCTTAAACTTTAATAGTTGAGAAGTAACTTGTTATGTTAGGAGGTCTTCTTTAAAAAAAGAATACGACCTATGCAGACTTTTAGACAAAATTGCAAGACTGTAGCACTTAACCATTACAAAGTTCGTTCAAAAATTTTTTTGAAAAACTGAAATATTCTAATTTTTATTTGAGTGCGGGCGAATCAAAAATATTATTTTTAATTTAATATGTAGTAATTATGCCATGTCTCCTTCGTATGTATTATTTCCTCTTGGTCTATTTTCACTTTGCGCAAATAGTTAAATAGTTTTCTATAAGTTTTTTGATAAAAAGCTTGTTAACAAAATCTAGTTTTTTATTTTTAAAGTGCGAGTGATTAAAAGATATACTTCTGTCTAATTGATGAATAGTTTTTATTTGCTTGAGTCGTTGTATCGTTTTCGAAAATATCTGTTTAAATTTTTGTCTCTTTATTTTATAACTAATTACTAAATTTGCCTGACTCTTTTAAGTAAAATAATATCCAAAAGCTATTTTTCTCGATCCTACTTTCAAATAAAACTTTGAGTTTGCTTTGCCTTACACATTTTATTAATATTTTTAATCGGCCTGGGCAACTAAATGAGTACTAAATTTAAGGGTTATAGAGTTATGTTTCCTATTTATATATATACGCGGAAACTTTGTTTTCATAAAAATACTTAGGACTACGAAATTTGGTGTTTATGGATCCTGTGGGGTACCTTAAGCGTTTTATATAAAGATTTATTGAGAAATTAGGGTATATACCAAAACTTTGGCAAGCATAGAATTTCAATCTTATAAATCTCAACTAGTATCTTCATCTATTAGGGAAAAAAGGGTTTATCTAGAAAAAAGACTTTTTAAAAACTGCAATAATACTGAGCGTAGCGCAGGTTATATTTTAATCTGGTACAGGTATAAATCGGGCTTATTGCCTAATATAAGCTTCAGACCTTAATTTTTTTAAGAAAAAGTGTGTTGAAAGTTTAAAAGTGTTTTAAAAGTACTTTTTATGCTGATTTCTGTTCGTAGGATATAATAAACGCTATCTAGCCACATAGCTTCAAGAATTCCTATATTTCAACGATAAAACTTTCCCCCAGTTTATAATATTATGACGTATAAAAGCATAAAGTTAACTGTAGCAAAGCACAATCTTTTAATTAACACTAACGACAACAAGTATAATAAGATTAATTTTAACGAGGTGAAAATAATCTTTGGACTAGCAAAAATAAGAGATTGTATATCTTGAAGCCTTAATCGCTCCGTAAAATATATCCTGTAGAGTAACTTTTATTTAAAGGTTTTTAAGCGCAAGTATATGATGAGTAGATCGTTTCATATACTTTTTTATATCAAGGCTAGCGGTCTGTGGTAAGCAAGATATTAAGAAAAGTCACTGTCGAGTGATAATACGAGAGAAGCAACATTTTTCCTTCGTTAAAAACAATACTGAAAAATTTTAAACTTAAAGGAATACTTTTCGAAATAAGAAATAATAAACAAGATGGTTGCCTCATTTTTTATTTCGTATCAACTAATCTAATAATAATTTTTTTATGATCTGTTGTTCTCCTTCTATTATACTTAGAGTTATGGTTTTTTTAGACCTTCGCTGGAGCCTTTCGTGCTGCTTTACAAAACGACCGGGAAATTGGAGTGTTTGTTGCACAACAAAAGCACAAATAATAAAGGTTTGGGATTGTTTATAATTAACTTTATTAAGCAATAAAAGAAATTAAAACTTGAACATTTATAATTATCTATCAGTAGAATACGTAATGTTTAACCAGTCGTCCGTAACCAATTTCATTAATCTATTCTTTCATCTTATAAGGAAAATAAGAAAAGTATAATAATTATACTGTTTAGTTTTTAAAATTTTTAAGCAATAAAAGTTTAGGAAATTAGAATGAACCAGAATTAACAATAAAATTTCGTAATTAATTTTTTACTGACGTTCAAAAATTATAACTTCACTTTTCCGATATTAAGATTTTTATATTAATAGAAAAAGTTAGAGATTTTATGTAAAATTATTAAACTTTCTATAAGTAAGAAATTGATCTAAAGACTAAATTTACTATTCAATGTATATTGAATAGTAAATTTATTAATAAATATTATTTTTCAGAAATAAATAAATTCTTAATAGATTTATAAAAATAAAGAAAAGCATTCATCAGTTTAACGTAAAAGGTTGGATAATAATTTCATTAAAAGGACGCTCCTGCCGGATGCAAATATTCCTAAAGGAATTAAAATTCTTAAAAGTCGAGAAACAAAAATTTACTTAAAAAAACTAAACGCTGAAACTTTATAGCTGCTGATAAGATTTAAATCCTTATTTTTAATTTTTTTTTAATAATTATATATAAAAATTTATAGTTTGCTTTTTTCAAATTAAACTATAATTCGTTATTCTTTAAATAATATAATGTTTTGTTGATCAAAAAAGTTATATAATAGTCGAAACCGAGGCTGAAATAATAAAAAAGAAACAACTTTTATTATGAAACTCCCCAATTTAGTGGAAAAGTTTTAACAAGTAGATTTAAAAAAAAAATTAGAAAAAGTAATGATTAGATTAAATTTTTTTTAAAAGTAGCAGAAATAAAAAAAATTCATTTTAAATTTCTTTAAAGCGCTAAAAAATTACAATTACAAATTATTAATTATTAAATTAGAGTAAACGCAGCATAATAACTGCAAAGAATTAGTCGCAGCTAAAAAAATATTAATAAATTTTATTACTTTTTTATTAATAAAAGTAAACAAAAATGTATTTAAGTTTAACAAATTTTTCCAAAAAAATAATAAAGCAAAAGATTTTATAAATTAAATTTTATTTATTCATTGAAATTTATTAATTTTTATAACAAATTTAGCTAAAAAAGAGAATCAAACTTAAATTATTTATAAGTATTTTAATAGTTCTATAACAAAATACTATCAATATAAATTGATTATGACAAAAAATATTATACAAATCTAAAGATAATAAATTCTTCAGAAATTAATCAAATAATTAATTTAATTTTTTTTAACAAGCAATTTCATATAAACTTTTCATAATAAAAAATTAAAAAAGAAAAAGAAATCCTCAAAGTAAAATTAAAAACACTGAAATTTATTATAACTGAAAAATAGAATATAATAAAATTAAAAAATTAAATTTCTGAAATAAGCAAAAAAAACAATGGGTTGAACTTTTTAGGATGAAGCAAAGAAAACAAATTATAGTAAGATTAATAAAAGCTAAAAGTTATCAAGCTTTTATAATTAAAACGAAACAAAAAAACAATGAAGTTTTTTATAATATAAATAAAACAAAAAAAATAATTTATTCAATTAAAAAAATTAAAAATTTTCGGAGCAAAATCAAAAATGCAAAAAAACTCTAAATTTTAATTGAGCAAATCAAAATTTCAAAAAGTTTTTCCGAACAATTTAAAAAAACAAAGAAATTTATAATTAAGTTAAGAAAAATGAGAATTAGCAATTTTTTAATAATTATTTAACGAAGCATAAATTTAAAAAATAATTTTAACAAAAAAATAAACAAACTTATTAAATCATAAAGAAAGAAGAAAAGATTTTCTTAAAAAAATAAATAAACTTTTTAAATTATAATTAATAAAAAAAAAAATTATTTCAGAAAATAAACTTCTTCAGGGAAACCTGCACTGCGCGAGAGAAAGAAGCTCATAAAAATAAACAGCAGCGAGACGGCGGGAATGGCCAGAAAGTAAATCGTCAAAAGAAATCCAATTCGATTGTTGTTCTTACAAAAATTATAAATTATAAACAAAATTTTATTCCTAATTTATTAATTTTCCCCCCAAAAATAAATAATTAGTAAAGAGGAAAGTTATTCATAATTGACTCAGTATTTCTACAAATTGCTTAACCACTAAAGAACATATTTATTGTATAACCAACAAATTTTAATTATAATTATTAAAATTAGTTTTCTTTAATATTTTTATGTTTTTTCTATTTATTTTTTAAAGTTAATCTTTTATAAATCTTCATTGCATTTAATTTATTTAATTTAATATTAAAAGTACAATACTTTTAATAATTTTTTATGTTTAGAAAACTTTTATTTGGTATATAATAAATAATATAAATAATAATTAGAAATTATAAAATTACTAGTTATAATAATTGGTACTAGCAAACTTCTATTATAGTTTTATAATTAAATATAAAATTTACTTAATTATTTTTACGTTTAAGATTATCATAACTACATTTTAGAAGTACTGTTGCCTCTACAAAAAAACTTACTATTAATGCTAATAAAAAGTAAATTATTATATCTTTTTGTGAAACAAGTTATATAAAATTGATAAATTCAAAATAAAACTGAAATAACTTGTAATTATAATAAACCTCGAAAAGCTTCATTTATGATTTCTTTCATTTTCGCTAATTTCAGTTGTTCATCTTTAGAATTTAAAAGTTCATAATTTTTTTCGTCAAGTTCTAAAAAATTAAGGAAACAAAAGAACCAATAATACCAGTTATCAAGAAAAAAGTACCCACTAGTTCTGCTTCTTGCGGAATTTCAAAAAGCACTTCGGCCGGCTTCGACGCAAAAATAATAGTAAAAATAATAATAATAATAAAAGTTTTACTTCAAGAGACTTTTCTTCTATAACTTCGAGCTCCACAAAAGGAGTTATTTGGCGTTCTGCCTAAAAATTATAATAACAAGTTTTTTATTAACTCTTTTTTCCCCTTTATTATAATTTAGTATCTATATATATTTATTATTATAATATAACATTTATCAATATTATTGGTTTACTTTATTTAAATACTAATTATATTTATAATAACAAAAATGTATCTACTTCAAAGGCAACGGGAAGGGGCGAAAGACTGGCCTCTGCAGTAGCAAAACTTAAACCTCCACTCTTTTATATATAAAAAAGTTACAAAACTAATAAAAATAATAATAGTAGTTAAAAATTGTGTCCGCACATCTGCTGGCAAGTCCAGAGTCTTAAAAATAATGATAATAAATAATAATAAAATTTACATATAAAATAAAGATAGTAGAGAGAATGAATGTTATAATAATAATGAAATGCTTAAAAAACGGAATATTTTATATAGAAAAAGAATACATCCATAGAAAAGTCGCCGTGCGAGGCATCCGTCGCTTCGTTGTTCTGACCAATGAGAAGCTTGTCCTTAGAAACAATAAAAATCAGGTAAAGGAAAAAACCATTATTTTTACTGAAAAAGTAACAGAAGATTTGGTGGGGTAGTGTTTGGCGGGTTCCTTATTTTTCTCGAAAAGGTTTAATATTTCACGAGGAAACTCTTCAGTCGCCGGAATGGCAAAAAGTTTTTCGACGTCCTCAATAAAGAAATGGTTTAGTATTATTATTTTGAAAATATAAGAAGAACAGCTTATTAGTGGTTTACATATAATATAACTATTTTTGACCAATAGCATTGCGTTAAAAAATTTATAATCATTTTTATTAATTAATAAATTATGCTTCTCATTTAAAGTTTGAATCTCGATTTGCAACTTAATAAATCTAATAGGCCAGCAATAAATTTTTACTTTATAAACATATATATAATTAATACAATAACTTTATAAGCACAAAAAAAAGATTGAAGAATACATTATTTATAATAGCAAAAGCAAGAATAAAAAAGTTAATAATAATATATTTTCTAGCAATATAGAATTATTACTTTATTATTAAAGAAAAAATAAAAAAATAAAAAAAATAAAAGTTATACAAAACTTAACAACATACAATATTAAAAGTCCGAGGCTTATAACTTCCTTGTAAAGGCAAAACATCTTCAGCTTCAGCACGTTCTGCACTGAATAAACTTTTTTCCAAATCAAGAACGGCGTCCAGATGCACGCGTTTTGCTCCAGAACTTTTTCTTATTATTATTAACAATAATAATAATAGTTAAAATAATAATAAAACTCTTTAGGTTTTAGAGGGGTCGAACGCTTGGCAGGCCGAGTAGCGGGTGCGAGCGCGCTAATGGCTTTGTCGTGGATAATCTTTTTTCCAGCGGCGAGCTCGGGACTCTATAATTATAGCAACGCTTTACAGTAATAATAAATGATGCACAATTTTTATATTTAAATACAATTATTATTATTATTATTATTATTATTATTATTATTATTATTATTGATTTCTAGCACCTCAAGCTCGGCGACGGAATCTCTTCGAGAGTCTTCCAGGGGAGAAACGCCAGAAAAAGAAAATGAGACGTTATCTGTAACATAGAAAAGTAAAATGTTATTTTTGTTTCTTGGGAACCTGCACTGTTCGGTGTCAGGTTCCTGGACACTAGTGTCTGTACTATGATAGATACTAGGTACTAGTACTATATATATAAGCGGCCCGCTCCCCAAATAAGTGGACATGTTGTAATTATTTAGTTCAAACAATCAAAATTAATTTTATGATTTATTACTATAAATTTTCATTGGTCGAAAAAGATATTGTTAAATAAATTAACCAATGGAAGGGGTTTCCAGTTCTTTTAAATCCGCAGGCTGCTCCTCTGCTAAGAACTAATATAAAATATATAAATTTATGGAATTTTTTATAATAAACAATTCGACCAACAAATTTAAATAAAAATAAAAATAAAATATAGAATAGTTTCTTAACGTCATTGTCTATAGGAAGCAAAAACTCTTCAGTCATCGCATCCAGTATATCGCCCTTCTGTGGTCCCTAGCAATAATATAAAGGGAGATGAGTACGTGGATCCAACATAGTATATAACACACGCAGAAAAACAGTACACGTGATCAAAACACGCCATGTGGAGTGTAACATGTTCTAGGAGGTACTCACGTTTTTATAGTTTTCTATAACACAAATTACACGCTCCATAATGGGTGCAGCAAATTTAGTTTTAAATAAAAATAATAATAGATAGCCGATAGTATTAGTAAAAAAAAAGTTATAAAAGTACCACCGCTTTATTTAAAAAGTAGAAAAAAGTAAGAGACTAACAAGTTTATAACCTATTTATTATTACTTATTTAAATTATAGAAGACAAAAATATTTATAAAAGCATATTTATTATAAGTGATATATAAGAAGGAAACTAAATATTAATAAGTATAAAACATAAAGATCAATAAATTAAATAAAGAAAAGCTGTTTTACTACTTAAACGTTTCAGTATTCCGAGCAATAATATTATATAAAAGTATATTTATAAATATGTATTTTTCAAGTAGAAAATGATAAGTCAAATAAATTTATTAAATAAACTTAATTGCTATCAAAAACTTGATGTTAAAATTTTTTCGTTGCTAAAATTACTTGCTGTAGAAGTAAATATTCTTATAATAATAATTTATACAGATAGATTTACGTTTTTTAGGGAAACATCATTTACAAACATTTTTAAATTTAATGCAAGGAAAATTAAAAAATTTAATATTATAAAAAAAAAAGAATTAAAAACGTAAAAAGCAGCAGAGATTTATAAATTAAACCAAAGTGTCCTCACGGCGTGGCACCTCGGCAAAAACATCGTCGCTCACGTGACCTTCGTGCGCCAAAAAATGGGTATATATATATATATATAACGAAGCCATAAAAATTACGTTTAATATATACCAATAGAAGAAAGATCGGCATGGCGGGGAATTTCGATAGAGTCCAACGTTATGTCCTGCTCGGGTGCCGTGTAGAGCTCATCCCCCATAATGACACTGTAGTGTTATAAAAAATACTATTAAAAAAGTTATAACTTACGAAAATATAAAAAGATTTTCTTATAATAAAAAGTTAATTTAAGCTAAACAGTAATATCAATACTCGTTTTCGTTGAATATTTTATTAAAATCCAAATCGAAGCTATCCAATTTCATAGTTATTGCGCTTTCTTTAGCAACAGCCCGATTATCTTTAAGATCAATAGCTCGACCCGTTCTAAATGCAGACTTAAAAAGATAAATATTCGTTATTGTTATCGTTATTATTTTTATATTTATTATTATAAGAAGAAACCTTAATTCTGGTAAGAGTTTCTGTGACATCAATATAAAGGTATTGCACTTTGCGAAAAAATATTTTCACGACCCCCAAAAGCAAATGGCCTTAAATAAAAAAATGTAATAATCAATGTAATAGGAAAATATATATATATATAAATTTTATACTTATACTATTTATACATAAGATTATAATTTTTTATAAAAAATCTGTTTCAAAGAAGATAAAATAACTCATTGAAACGTTAAATAAACATTTTTGGACTGCTCTTCACTAAGTTTATTTTATGGACTTCTTTATACCTGATGTTCTTAAAGAAATCGGTTGAATTTGTGAGCCCTTTTCAATATAATCGCTTACAATAGTTTCTACCGTTCTCTTAAGGCATTAATAAAAAAATAAAATTAACTGAATAAATTGAATTTTGAGTAAATACGTTGATATCTGTTTGCATGACGTGTTGCTTTGTTAACTTTTTTTCCCAGTGAGCCGCTAGCCATATTTTACCGAGAGGGCCACTCTTGGCAAAAACATACTTAGAATAAAACATTTCTCCCCAAACTAGCCAAAAAATGAGATAGAATTAAAGTTATAATAAATTTTCAAATAGATACTGTTTATTAAAAAAAAAAGTAAAAGTAAAGCAAATATATTTAATAATGTTCAAAGCTAACCTTAATAATTTCAAACCAAATAGAAAGGGATCTATACGATCTACTAAAATGTGGAGTTGTATGAAGGAGTTCCTTAGAAATATCTGCTGGCTGAGGCCAAGGTGTCCCCAAATGTAGGATAATACTGTGTTAAATTTAAATTTACAGGTAGTACTAGCTAATATCATTAGAAAGATAGGCATATTAATAAAAATTAAAATTATTAATATAACAACTTTCTCTTGTATCATTCAACTATATGACTTGTTAATATTTTGAAATGTTATAAAAAAAGATTTTTGCCCTACAAGGGGGGATACCAACTTAATTAAAGTGATGATTTCTAGCATGGCTGAAGCTAGTATTACATGATACATTCTCACGATGAAAAAAGTCACAAGTCCCCACAGCCAAAAGAATGTTATAGTATTAAAATTGTTTTCAATATTTCAATAAAAAAGGAAAAGTTATGTTTCATTCAATGACCCTGAAATGTCAGATTTATATCTTGAAAAATTCTTCTGTTGTGCAAATATTGTTAAGTGTTCGGGAGCTAAGAATTACTTTGTCTTCTCGCACCGAAAAGTCTACTCATATACTCTTTTCGTAAAAAAGCGGTAATTTTAAACAGGCATCTTTAATTATGGTAGTGCATAAAATTAATCTGATGAATGCGGTGCCATAAATTACCATGGACAAAATTGAATCAAACTTTTAAAAATGTAGTAAGTGAGTTTTTTTTACTCCCCCGATAATAAAAATAAGGTTGAATATTACAATAAGAACTATATGTTTCAGTAGCTACCAGAATACCTTTTACCTCCCCACCCCCTTTTAGCGAATAGTGGTTGCGTCATAACATTACTATGCTCCTGTTTTTAAATATACTTTCGTGACAAGGTATTAAGCCTCTTAAATTAAATTAATTTAAGTTCAAGGTACATCAGTTAACTAACAAGCTTTAATAAATATATTTGTCTAAATTTAAATGTCTTATGTGGTAATAAAAGAAAAAGAGATTCAGTATGCCTGGATACAAGACAAAAAAAACGTAGATAGATCTTTATAATAGTTTATAAATTCTACCAAGTGGTTTGCAAAGCTCTTACTAAAATGCATTAATTTGGTTTTCTTTTTTATGCTGTTGTATGTAAAGTGAAGGAGCTTCCAGCTGTCTTTAACGTCCATAAATAATGCGCTATTCTCCTTACGATCTTTCCTAATATAGATAGTTAAAAAGCATTCCCTTGTGGTCTACAAGTACGCTACACTTTTGAAAAAGCAAAACGACGCTTACTGAACTCTTTTCTTCTAGCTTTTCACCCCTTGATTGAATAATAATATGGCCTTAAGTTCCGAAACATATACACATTTAATTTCTTCAGTAATACTGTTATTTTAGTTTTACTTAGATGAGTGATACTTTCTTTTATCTTTCTTAACATGTTTAGCAGAAATAACGTTAGAGAAAAAAATTTTTGGCTTGACAGGCAGAAGGCTAGGATTAAACAGGAAGGTAATTTTGTTAATAATTAAATAGTTATCTTCTTTATTAATATTATAACCAAGGGAAATATGTGCCGGGTGTGTGGGCCAGAAGTCCCCCAACCCCGAGGGGAATGGAAGAAGGATGCACAAGCGTATCAGAAAGACTTAAATCACTAGAAAGTAAAAGTAAAAAAGTTTATAATAATCGTTCTCGTAAGAGAGATAGTAACTTTAAAAAAAGAAAGCTAGTACGGGTTGAAGATGATAGTAGTGCTATCACCTGTAGTTCCACCAGTGGAACAGAAAGTAAAAGTACTAGTAGTTCTAGCGGCAGTGATAGTGAAAGTTATAAACGTCACGACTCAAAGCGAGATAAAGTTAACATGAAAACTTGAAAAAAATAAAGAAGTTATACAAAGTAAATAATAAACTAAAGGAAACTGAAGATATAGCTTTAAGAGATTTAAAAACTGGCCTTAGCAGCACTTCAATTGTTAGTAGTAAGAAAGAATCATCCTTAAATCCATCTTCTGATGAAGACGATCAATGGGTTGAAAAAACCGATCTTCATTTAAAAAAAAGAAATGCAGACAGTGATGACGACACGATTGTAGGCCCCCAGCCCGCCACCGGGTCATTACTTTCTTTAAGTCTATATCTTTTTATATATCAAATTTAACATTCTTCTTATTTTATTATTAAAGTACCTAAACTTCCTTAAATGTTTCTTTTTCGGTTGTAGACTTCAAGTTGGACTGCAAAAAGGATATAAAGACATGATGATGCCTGGTGAAGCTGATGCTATGGCCGCTTTTATTGAAGAAGGTATTTAAGCCTTTTAGGTTTACTAGTATCACACTTCATTAAATTTATTTTTTAGGTGTGCGCATTCCCCGTCGTGGCGAGATTGGGTTAACTTCGAAAGAGATTGAAGATTTTGAGAGCATGGGTATGTTTATTTTCCCAACTTTACTATATTATTAGGATCTTTATAATGAATTAAAATAAAATATGTCTATTTTTTAGGTTAAACTGGTTTTTTATTTATTATAAACTTGTTTATTATTTATAAGAAAATGTGTATTTGTAAATTTATTTTGAAACTAGAAAATAGATTGAAATGAGTTGTGAACTTTACATTGTTTTTCTTTATAAGTTTTCGTGTTTTTTTTAAAAAAGGGAGTTAAAAAAATAAAAATAAAAAGTTAAAAAAGTATTATAATTCAACTTTAATAAAAAATAGTTAATTATATAATTTTCGTATAAGTCAAATTTAAATAGTAAGAAAATAATAATTTTTTAAAAAATGAGAGTTATTTTGACTGGCTCTTTACCTAAGCTACTGACCTTGCACTTAAGGGTGAATTTTTTTTGGTAAAATTTGTAGTGAACTTGTTGGCGATTAATAGGATCTAACTTTATAACACTAGCGCCAGTTATAAGTTACGCTGTTAAGGAAAGGTTAGGAAAGTTAGAGTTAAACTAAGTTTCTACTTTTATTTAGTGCTAATTAGTCAATGATTATCGATGATTCAGCCCAAAAAAGTAAAAAATTCCGATAAAGTGATATTGTTTATCAAATGGTTTGCTTGGCGGTCTGTAATACTTCAAAAAAAGAATTTTAATACTTTGGGGGGGGGGGGGGGGGGGGAAATTACTTTTATTAGTTTATCTAGAAAACTAATTTAGTTTTAATTGTTATTTAAGTTATTTATGTACTTCAATTTTTTATTATTATACTTGTAAATTTTTTTAGTGTATTAGTAATCTTTTTGACTTTACTGAAGAGTAACTTTATATGATTTTAGGTTTTGTAATGTCCGGAAGTCGTCATCGGAGAATGGAAGCTGTCCGTCTTCGTAAAGAAAATCAAATGTATAGTGCAGAAGAGAGAAGAGCTTTAGCAATGTACAACTTCGAACAAAAGCAAAAGAAAGAGAGGCAGCTTATTAACGACTTGAGAGAAAAGTTATCAAACAAACAATAAAGGCGAACAAAAAAGTAAGTAGATAGATTGTACTGAAAAGTAAGAAAAGGTGGGGTGAAGCATTTGACCACCGTGGAGAGCACTATATAGCTTTTGAGTAAACGCTGTAAAAAAAAAAATTTACCTGCTAGTTTTATAAGGAATCACGTAATCCTCCTACACGGAAAGTAATAGTAAAGCTTAAAGTTGGGTGAAGGGTTTGGGGTGCCGGAAGCACTATGAATAGCTTTTGAATATACCACGCGTTAGAAAAAATTTACCTCCACTTTGCGACTTTGCTAATTTTATAAGGAATCACATAATCTCCCTACACGTAAAGTTCTTCCCTTTTCCTCATGTTCCACTGTATCCAGGTCTACGTGAAGGTTATTTAGTTTATACTTGCTTACTCAGAACCGCTTGCTTTATTTAACTTATCATTTATAAGGAGTTTAGAGTATTATTATAGAAATTATTTTCTTTTAAAGTTTCCAGAGTTAGCATATAAGTCTTAGACAAGCGCAGTGTGATCCTGACTCCGAATTTTGTTAATTTAAAGCACTTATACCTTGTTTACCTTTTATAGAGCAGAATTTAAGAAATTTTAAAATATAAGTTTTGCTTCAAACACTAAACGTAGAGCATATACAAAATTTTACGTCAACTTTTAATGGAAACGTTTAACTCCTTATATTTAGTTCTGAAAAAGACTAATTTTATATGGTATTAAAGGAAATTTACAAATATTTTACAGTACTAAGGAATAAAGTTTGCTTAGCATAAACTCTGATTTTTCATTACAAGCGTAAAAAGGCTCAGCTCATGATAATAAATAGTTAACGCCAAATTATCATAGTATAATAACTATGTTATATTATTATAATGAACTTTTAAAGGAGTAAATTATGAGTGAAAAGTTCAAAAGATTTTATATTTTATGAACATAGAAAACTTTTAAAGTAATCTATAAGTAGTTAGTAGCCAGCAACACAAAAGTTATATATTAGAACTTAAAAGTTGTCAAAAAATTTCAAAAATTTTTATTGAAAAAAGAGTAGCTTCTGAGGTTCTCGATACTTAATCCCTGACGCCTGCTCGATTTTTGTTCACTAGCATTGCCTTTCCAAGCCTATGTTCTTACATGTGTGCAGGAGAGTTTTGAAACTAAATGTAAATTATATAAAATCGTATCCTGCATCTGCCGGCAAGTAAGTGCATCTAAATGCTCAAAGTCTAATATAATGAGTGTTGAAAGAACACTATTGCCTTATCCAGGTTCATAAAAACAATTTCCTGCCTTACTAATTAAATTATCGAACTTAAGATATCACTCTTGTAAAATAGGAAGAGGGTAGACTACTTTGCTAGTGTGAAAGTATATTTTTAGTTGTTAAAATAACTCATCACTGACTATCAGTACGCTTGTAAAGAGTGGTTATAACATATGTCTCTCCCTTTGGCCCGAGGTTTCCAGCACAACCAAAGAAAGCCAAAGGAGCGCAAGAAGGACAAAACTAAATTTTTTTTGATAAATGCAGAAGCTCGATAAAATCTGACTCACGCTGTTTGGGTTTGCTTATTATATAGACTATTTTGCATAGGCTGTACACAGTTTCCGCAAGTCAGCTCTTAATCTTTTATAAATATATACATATGTGTATGTAGAGGTTTACTTGCGCATCACGGAGCCGTCTAAGGCGTACGCTATCCAGGATCCGTACGTAAGTTCATGAGACTACTGGTAATTTGGATGCCTACTAACACGCTCAAACAAAATAGTAGCTGCATTTCTAAGTAAGACTTCAAGTCGTTCTGGACTCAGATTGTCGTGCCACTTGTCTTAGGCACGAAAAAAGGTGCGCTCGACATAAGTCAAAAGAGCACCTTTCGTACAGTATTTCTTACGTCCAAGCAACAGAAGCCTAGCCCAAAATTGGGTGCACGTACATTTTCAAGAGGGTAGTTTTTTGCGCAGGGAGCATGGTACTTTAACACACAGCAGCGGGAAGAGTGCGTGGGTTGCCATGTTGTCGCCATTAATGCTGACGCTCAAATATATAAGACCTGAGAGCTATTAAAGATCTTAACAACCTCACGGGTTAGAGGAGGGGATACTTCCGTGCAACTTTAAATATTAATTACACTGCTATGCTTTACATAATGGTTATTTCCCACCACCGGCACAAGTTGGCAGGGATTTCCGAGTAGCGTTGTATTATTATGTAGTTGTGGTAATAAGAGGCTCTTTGTAAATGCGCAAACTGCAGTGTTCTCAGCGTACTGCGTTCAATATTATTATTATCCTTATTATTAAGTTTTATGCAGATGCCCGGTATAATCGAGGGCAAACTGCTTAGTTTGGCTGATAATTTAAATTATTTGGAGGTGTTCATAGTAAGTTTCCACTAGTAATCTCAGTTAATAAATACATAAATAGGTGTGGGGAGGTAACAATCTATAAGCGTTCAGAGTGCATACCTGGGCCTTTGGAAGCATTCGCATTTCCAGGGTAATTCTGTAATTTCTTGTGCCCACTGGTGGTTAGTATCGCCTACTTATACGTTAAAAAAGACAGCAGTTGCACTTCGGAGGAATGCTAGTCGTTCCAAGTCCAGGTTGCCGTCAAATGTGTCATTACGCATTAAGTAAGATGCGTGGGTCATTAGGCGCAGAGGCTTGTTTTGTTGCGTTTGCGGAGCGCCATCGTCGAAGGTTTTTCGTAGGTTCAAGCAGCGAATGCGTAGACTATTTTAGGGCACACGGATAATTTTTAAAAGTGGAGCGCAGACAACGTGTAAAGCGCCTGGTTTGGAGCTTCGTTCATAGTTGCTTATCGATGAGGACGCTTAAGCGTTCCTGAGAGCCTCAATATATATAACACCTTCTAGGGTTAGTAATGGGGTTAAGGTACTGTATCATTTTGAGATGAGGACTACCTTGCTTTCTTTTTCAGTTAATCTTTATCATTGACTGTCGCTGGCAAATGCTTCCAAGTAGCGTTGTAGATGTTGCCGTAATAATATGGAACTCGAATAAGCGAAGTCAAGACGAATTCCTCGATATACATGCTCTTTAGGTTTGTAGGAGTAGCCAGGTGGTGCAGCAGGTAAACGTCCTCCATCGTATCCGTCAAGACGATGAAGACGGTGCCCTGTCTTATTGCAGAAAATCCATCTGTCGTCCGTTTTCAAGTGCGTTTTACATAACCAAGCGATAACCACATCTTTTCTCTGCAACAGCTGTAACAGTCGTCCTTTCTACGGTGTACGCCGTAGTAAAAATGTCAGTTGACGCAATGAGCTGGTCCTAACAACCATTTGCGGCGGTCAGGTTGCCTATTGTTCGAAAAAAAATTCTTCCCAAAACAGTTGCAAGAGGTGCCAGTATCTCCCTTTACTGTTCGAAGCAATAGGTCGTTGCTGTTAAGCAGAGTGTGATGCATGAGGATTTTGTTTCGTCATGGCAACAAATGAGGTCGTCGGCGTTACTGGTGGTGTTTCTACAAGTTTTCTCTATAATTTATAAAAAGATATTTATATTGAAAAATATTACCAAGTTCGGAAATTTAGATAACTTAATATAATGATCCATATTACAATAGTAGTATTGAAGCGAAAATTTAAGTTTCAAATTGAAGGTAAATATAAAAATGACAAATTAATCTCTCCATCTCTCACCAGTCAATTATATTTTAACTTTTAAATTAACTTATTTTAATATCTAAAACAAATACATAAAAATGACTTAGTGATTGGCTAAACTTAAAATTTTGCTTTGTTGTTTGTTGTTTAATTTTATAAAGTATATATAGGAGTAATAGCAATAAAGAGGTAACTGTTTTTCTTTCTTCTTTTGTTCCCTTTTTTTGGCTTTCCTCTAGTGCTTTTTCGCTTACTTTTTTATCAGGATGCGGTTAATGAAAAGGGCTCATTTATAACACTTCCCTAGCTCCTTTACGGCACTCCCCACCGACCCCTTTTCGTTTTTCCTTCCTGCACATTCAAGCCCACCTTATTGGGTTCAACAACTTATTCACTTTTTGTTGCAGTTTGCGATTGGGACCTTCTCCATTTACTTAAGCCGAAGAGTGCAAGAGGTAATAGCTATACACTCCACTCTCGCTATAATTGACAAGAAGGCTACAAGCTCTTAAACGTGCTCAACAAACCTAATCTTATATTTACCGACTGTGACTATACTTTCCTCTATTGGCAGGCCCATTTTTTACAATTATTATTCACTTTGCTTTAATTGTAGTTAATATAAATTTAAGCATATTATAAAACACTAAATACACTTGAAGGTGCCATTCAGATCACAAAATATATTTAAGGTTATGCACTCCAAAAAGCACGCAAACAGAGATCCGTGTCATATTTGCAAAAGATGACAAGCAGTAGCCAAATTTTATTTTTATCCTGTCTGCTAAAAACAATAGGCAATTTTTTTTAATTTAAGTGAAAGAGAGTTCTTTTAATAGTGAGCTCACACCTTTTTGAATTTCAAAACTTAAAATCTTCCTAGGTGCATAAAACTAACTTCAATTATATAAATATTTCCTTTCTTTTGTAGTTAAAAAAAAAAAAGAGGGTATTCATTTATTACTTAATTGTCCGTGTGGTCGCTCTACTTATCTATTGTAGCATGCCGCAGCATAAATAAAAAAAGATTTGGTTTACAAAAATTTTGTACGTTCTTGAGGTTTTTGTAGAAACACTTTTGTTTCGTCATTCATATAAAATGCGAACAAAGTACTGTGATGTCGTGAAAAGTAGTATTG